TAGCAGGCAGATACTGGTGTGCCCATGTTGCAGATAAGGAACCCAGAAAGGGTGACTTGGCCAAACAAGGGTAGCTCAGCAGCGTGGAGTATGTCTGTCTAACTCATTTGAGCATGAGAAGCAAAATAGGTCTGTCTTGCTCTCTCAGCTACCACATTTATAAGACAAGAGCAGTGAAAAGGTCCCTCTCATACAGGGGTGAGGTTGTGAGGATCAAACTAAACAATACCTGTTAAATACTTAGAAACAATGCGAGGTATGAGGATTGTCCTGCTTATTATTTCTTTTGTGTAGCATTATTTCTGGAGGAGGAGGGTTCTTCGTGGCCAGCTGCTATAAGACACGACCTCGAACAGCCACCCTGCTCTTAAATTACTTAACTTTCTCTATTTAATTTAAGAACATGAGGCCGGGCGTGGTGGCTCACTCCTGTCATCCTAGCACTCTGGGAGGCCGAGGCGGGAAGATCGCTGAAGGTCAGGAGTTTGAGACCAGCCTGAGCAAGAGCGAGACCCCCCCCCCACCATTTCTACTAAAAATAGAAAGAAATCAATTGGCCAACTAAAGATATATAGAAAAAAATTAGCCGGGCGTGGTGGCACATGCCTGTAGTCCCAGCTACTCGGGAGGCTGAGGCAGGAGGATCGCTTGAGCCCAGGAGTCTGAGGTTGCTGTGAGCTAGGAGGACACAACACCCCTCTAGCCCCGGCAAGAGAGAGAGAATGTCTCAATTAAAAAAAAAAAGGAATATGACCCCAAAGCAACCCTAGGTTCGATTAAGTTTGCCAGTGTTTCCCTTTGCTTATGTATTTTACAGAAAACGAATTGTTAACCACATTGGATATTAAGTTAACAAGCATTAGAATATACATTTTTCAACACCATGGTAAAAGAAACCCCTTTATGGGATTGCTAATTTTTTTTTTCTAAGCTTAATTTGACATTCTTGCACCGTGTAAGTTTCGACCATAACTCACAGGACGTGCAGGGCGCAGTGGCTGATGTTGTCACCTGTACCCTTTCAAGCTCAGCGTACACGTATTATTATGCAGAAGGACCTCACTGTTTTGGGAACCAGCCAGCGTCGAATGGCTTCTGAAACAAATCCAGAGTAAGCAAGCTATTGACTGGACTCCAGAAAAGAAGGGGGGAGAAAGAGAATTCCGGCTACTTCAGGTTTTATTTTTATATGTCCCAGGAGTCTCGTACAGTATATTCTGTATCGCTTTTGAAAACAGTTCAGGAAGAGGTTTCAACCACACTGAGCTTTTCCTCTAGTACCAGTGTTGTTGCTTCGTGTCTGTGAATTTTCTTCTGCCGTTAGCAGAGCTGCTTCAAGGCCTCTCTGGCTTGAAACCGTGAAGATCTTAAGTTTAACTTAGGAG